TATGTGCTTCATGGGGCTGTCCTATAAATTAAATCACCCAGGTTCCTGTATCCTCTGGTTTCCAGTTGGGTTTGACCAATGAAAAGCTCCAGCAGACCAGAGGGTGGGAAAAGAAAACATGTGAGGTGTTTATTCCCCTTGATTCCCTTCCTGCTAGGCCACTGGTTGGAAGTGGCTGCATTCCCATAGGTTACCTTCTCCTTCCACTAAGCTCTCTCAAGTTCCAGAAATTACTCCCTCTCTTGCTCCGTCAGGCCTAAGGGTGCTGATTGCTCTTAGCCCTGAAGTGTTTCACCAACACCTGTTGGTGTTCCTTAACTCTGGGCAATCACACTGCTGGAGTGCACCAGGAGATAACTGATAGACCCAACAAACTACTTTCAGCCTGCACTGTTCCGTCATCCCTGATGGCTCCCATCTCCCCTTACCCCATAGCACTGTTTTTCTCTCAGTAATTGCATTCTGTATGCTTCCACATATGGACTGATTCACTACAAATCAGTTCCCTATGGAAAAGTCTTAATCCCAGGCTGATTCCCATTTCTGCCACCAATGCGTACAAACTACATGTAATACTAGATTGGGCAATGCCTAATTAAGAGGTAAATGTTACTAAAAATTCCTGACACACAGGCTGCAAAGCCAAGCCAAAGACTGGGATTTTGGGTTTATCTATTTATAACTTTCCTTTCCTTTAGACCAAAAGCTGGAGAAATTATCATACTTGTTATTATATTTTGCTTTATTTACAAGAATGGAACAAGGCCAAAAACAGTGCTCATCCTACAATGGCCACTCAAATTGTCAACAAAAATTGAAATGTCCTACCAGTTGCAATGAATCCTCCCTTTCTTATAGACAAGCCTACAAGTAAGACACCAGATTCAAATAATAGAAATGAGCTTTTAGTGTCAATCTTTCAGTTTATTGCTTAAATCCCATTTGAGAGTCATAAAGAAAGCATCCCTGAAAAAGATTCAAGGGTCAAAGATAAAGCTCTAATATCTGGAAAGATGTGATTTTTGCACCTGAGAAACAAAACTGAGACGGGCTTACCGTTTCCAAATCAACAGTGCTGCAGAAATGTTGCAAAAGACAGCACTTCTTAGGACTTTTACTGTGCTTCAGAATATCATGCTGTACACTCTCCAATATATATTCCAAAGTAGCAGAGCTTGATCCATGGGCAAAACAACCCAAGTATCACTGTAACAGACCCATTAAACTCTAAGAAAAGACCTACTGCCCCATCCACATGAATGCCAGGGCTGCACAGATATTGTTACTTATGTTAAGGAACCTAGAGCAGGGTTTCTCAACCTGGGCGCTTCTGACATTTCGGGCCAGGTAATTCTAGGTTGTGAGGGACTACACTGCAGAGTAGGGCAATCAGTTGCATCTCTGACCTCTAGCACTCCTCCAGTATGACAATCAAAAGTGTCTCTACACATTGCCAAACGTCTGGGGAATGGGGGTTGGGGCAAAAACTGCCCCTGGCTGAGAACCTCGACCCTAGATCAACTTTTATCACTCACACCCCACCCAGCACTACCACAGTGCATACGGTAACCCTGAGTCGTCCATCTGGATGGGTCTATAGGAGTAGACTTAGCTTTATAAAGTACCTTTTTTTTCTTTTGTTAAAGCTAGGAGTATTTGGCAACTCGCAAAGCGATACACACCCCTAGCACTAGGAAGGAGGAGAAGATGGATGAAAAGAATGGTTGCTAAAGTGGAGAAAGATTGCTAAAAAATTTCCAGACTTGAATTCCCTCTGAAAGCATCACAATTCTCAGATGAATGAATACACTCACTCACTTTATTCTCTCTGAGACGTTACGTGGAAAGTATCACAGTCCGTGGCATAAATGAACAAATGGAAAAAGGCAGGCAAAACCCCTTAATCAAATGAGGACAAAGTCAAAGGCAGGAAAGCACTGAGGGCTGACAGCCCAAGAACCTTTGTCTGGAATCCAAAGTTTGTCATATATGGACTCCAGTCCATCTTCAAGTTTTATTGCCATAGCACACTGTCCACAAAAGTGGCTTTCTACCCTATCAGACCCAACGCCCCCTTCTGTAACAAATATTTTGTAATGCTCTTTATTCTGAAATGAAATTCAAAGATTATAACATTATACCCATAGATATAACTTTTTTTAAATTTCAATATAGCGCCCAAACTGCAATGTAAGGGAAGAGAAACAAGAAGATTTGTATAATAAAACGTATGTTCAGACAAGACGAGACTCCAAGACCAAAGCATCCCCACCACTCTTCCGAAGTGTCCCCTAGAGGGCAGAGCTATCCCACTCCTGCTCCACACAAACCTGCTCTCAGCAGTCACACAGTTCAGCAACCTCCATCCCTTTCGATGAATATGACACAGAGGCAGCATCACAAAATAGGTAAGAAAGAGGGCTTTGGGGCTTCCCTGGTGACGCAGTGGTTAAGAATCTGCCTGCTAATGCAGGGGACACGGGTTCGAGCCCTGGTCCGGGAAGATCCCACATGTCACGGAGCAACTAAGCCCGTGTGCCACAACTACTGAGCCTGCGCTCTACAGCCCATGAGCCACAACTACTGAGCCCATGAGCCACAACTACTCAGCCCGTGTGCCACAACTACTGAGGCGCACGCACCTAGAGCCCGTGCTCTGCAACAAGAGAAGCCACTGCAATGAGAAGCCCGCGCACTGCAACGAAGAGTAGCCCCCGCTGGCTGCAACTAGAGAAAGCCCACGTGCAGCAACGAAGACCCAACGCAGCCAAAAAAAAAAAAAGAGGGCTTTGAAGTCAAACCAGCTGTGGCTAAAACACAGTTCCTCCACTTCACTGCTATGGTACCCTCTAAGTCTAGTTTCTCACCTATAAAAAGAGAATGCCAGCATATTTTTCAGAGTTTTTGGGAAAATTAAATGAGCATGTAGAATATCTATTTCTGCACCTAACACATAATATGTGCTCAATAAATGTTAGCTATCAGACTTAAACTATTATTCCTGAATCCACCTCGTATTATGTCTTAGCTTATGCCCATCTTACTCTCCCAGGAGAAAGTATGGATGACTGGATATTCATTTAGCAGAGATAGTCTAAAAAGGATCCAGGTGCAATATAAGAAAGAAGTTGCATCATATGACTTGTAAGGTTGTTTCTAATTCTGAGATTCTACCATATGCTGCCCTACACTGACATTATCTTCTATTAACTGGGGTCCTTTTTTCCCAGTTAGAGGACCAAGAACATGTCTAACGCATCATACTGTACAAAGCAACTACGGAGAAACACCTTGAACTCAGATCATGACAGTTTAGTGTCCCCCTTGAAAGCCCAGCCCTGGTCATTGGTTCTTTACCATTTAGCACAGGACAGTCAAAGAAAGAAGGACAACTTTTCCAGAGAGAGCACCTCAAGCAACCTGTACAGTGTCTCCAGAGAGTGATGATTCAAGGGCCAGCTGTTATCTATATGAATTTATTCCTTACACCAAGGAGCAAAGCAACACCCCTAAACATCTAGATTTTCAAATATGGAAGTGAAAACTAGTGGTGACAGCTAGAGAAATACTTCAAACTGATTCCAAAGTTAATATTCTGAATAAAAGCACTCACTGCTCAGGCTGTTAAGGGGAGCCCACAGGCCCAAGAAGTAATAAGCACATGGCTGGGCATGGAGTTATATCCTACTGACATACAGGAATCTTAATTTACATACACATACTGCTTTATAAAACAGAAGTTGCCAATTATTGCAAATCATTCTGCAAGGTGCTAACAGTGGTTATTTCTGAGTAGTGGAATTATTGGGGGTTGCTTCCTTTTGCTTATTAATAGTTTCCAATTCTTCTAACATATTGCTCTCGTAATGAGAATTCAAAATTACACAACACAATTTATTATCTACTGACAATCCATGAAATCTGGGGCAAAAAAAAACTATTTTAGGTGAACTCTTCATCTGAACCTGTGGATAAACTAAGTATTGATCTATGTCTCTAAAAATCATCCTTGTTCCCCACCTCAAACCAGAACCAATCACAACTTTGTTGCCCTCTTAATCTCTCCTGCAGACCTTACAGGTTTTGACACTACAGGACATCAGCACTGGATAATAAAAAAACCTCACTATTAGTTTTCACCAATTTCCCAGTGACAGCTACCAACTACCAACTGTAAAGAGAGGGAAAGGAAATGTTTTAAATCAATGTGTTTTTTGCACAAAAAGACATCAGATTCAAAGAAGTGACTTATTCAAAACTAAACGCAGACACTTCTACATCGCTATTTGAAAACCACTGGCTCCTCACAATCCTCACAGTAACAAGCCTCTATGAAAAAAATAAAAATCAATAAAGAGCCTCCATGGAATCATGAATGTCCCAAGAATAAAACGTCATTTTGGTAAACACTCATTTGGTAATTGTATTTTCCCTGCTCAGTGAAAAAACAGCACAGAAAGATTTCAAGAGGAGAGGGGAAAAAAACAGCCTCTACCAAAACAGGCATACTCCTCAGCACAGCAGAAGAAAGTAAATTCAAACCAGCTCAATTCAGCAATTAAGCAATTCACCATAGACGAAGCACCATGACAGGTGTTTATCATCTCTAAACAAATAAGCCAAGATATCTGCCTTCCAGGGAATCAAAACTCTAGTCTGGGAAACAAACACTTATAAACTAATATACGGCAGATCCAGACAAAATTTAATAGAACTTTTAAAACTGTTCTGGTAGTATAAGAAAGGAGAGATTAAAATCAACTGCAAGAATTTTGAAAATGATTCTTCATATTCATTATATGTATATATATACACACATACACTTAAATCAGTCACTTATCCATCTTAATCATTGAACCCAAAATAAAAGGTGGCAGAAACTCTCAGCTACCAAAAGCAAGCATCAGAGGTGAAATCTACACACTCATCCTTCGGACTAAAAATAAAACGTAAACGACAAGTGACTTACAACAAGGAGAATAGATGCAAAAAGGACTCACCAACATCAGAAGGTCCGTACTCGGCATCTTCCTCTTCCAGGCGTCCTTTCAGTGCCTCCCCTCTGCAAAAGGGAATCACGTTTGTTTACTTCTAACGCTTTAAACGCTCCCGTCGGCCCGCCGAGATTCGCCAGAGCTGCAGAGAAAGGGTTCTATCCCTCCTTTAAGAGCTCAGATTTCACTCCTAGCATTCACACTCCACCCCAGCACCCCAAACCAGCGAATCAGAATCCTGCTGGCACTCTGCTTCCCTCCCACAGCTGCCCAAACGCTTCCAGTGCCACCCTCCCACAAAGCAATCCCCCCAGGTAGCTACCGGGGGAAACGCCCAGCCTGCAGTGGACCAGGGCCTGAAGGCCCGGAGCCCCGCCCATTCAAACTAACCCGGCCAAGGAGCGGACGCTACAGGCAGTCCAGTCCCAGGGTCCAGCCTCCGGTGGACTCCCTTTAGAAACAGGTAGGCCTCGTTCTCGACTTCATCCCTCCCTCCCCACAGCCCTCTCCTCGCCGGCGAAGGACCAGCAAACCTGCCCACCCCAAGACCACTCCTACCCCGCCAGCGAGTGGAGTTTCGGACCCCGCTCCTTCTCGGCCCTGGCGCCCTCCCCCACCCACTCGCGAACCTTGCACTCACTCAGACCTCGGGTGGTCGGCGCCCCTACCCTCAGCCCGAACCCGAGCCCGCCCCAAGCTCCTAGACCCTCGGTCCGGCCTGGCCCTTCCTCCTCTCCTCACCCCTCCGCAACAGAACCCCTCCGCAACAGGACCCCCCGCAGTCCAGACACTCCTCTCTCTCCCCGGCCAGGACCCGCCTCCCATTCAGTCCCGACTCTCCCCTATCCCAAGCCGAAGCCCTCCTCCCCAGCCCGGACCCTCCTCCTTCCTCCGGGTCCGCGGCGGCCCCGTCCACCTCCTCAGCCGGGAGCAGCTTCTGCGCTCCTTCCCTCGGACACTGTCTCCCCGGCCCTGCTCCTCTTCACCGCGAGACCGACTCGCGGGCCGCTGGGCAAAAGCTCCCCAGGCGGCGTCTACTGCTACCGCTGCTGCCGCCGCCGCCGCCGCCGAGATTAGAGATCCGGCCGCCGGTGGCCCCGCCCCTCCCCCCGCCCCGTCCGGAAATGGCTCCCACGGTGCCCGCCCCGTTCCCCAGCCCTGGCGTGCGCGGCTCCGCCGCCGGTCACGCGCACGCCCCGGCCTGGGCGCCAGGCCCGCTGTCCCCTCCGGGCCCCACGGCGCGTGCGCGCCTCCTGCTGGCCTGGCGGGGGCGGCGCCCGGGCCTTCCGAGAAGGTGGAACGCGCCCGCCCCAGAGGGTACCCAGCTTCTTCAGTCTCCGTTTTTAAAAACCAACTTGCTGGTCACTTTTGGCCACTTGGAGCCCCTGAGAGAGTCAGCCTGCAGCACTGTGCAAGCTGATCCATAACAACGACTCAAGATGGGTCTCTAGAGAGGCCTTTGCGATTTTGAGTGACTCAGAGATTTGCTCCTTGTCTCCTTCCTGGAGACTTCCATCGAGGTCAACGATGCCTGAAGAAAAGCGACAGGAAAACGCCCTTATTGGAAATATTATCCCCATCCTCCCCTCTCCCCACAAAAATGGATAACAGTGACTATAGTTGTTGGGCAAAAATGCTACCAATACTACTTTATTTTCGTGAGCAATGTTGGGAGTCACCTGATATTCAAGTGAGAGCACCCACCAGGATCACAGAGGTCACCCTTCATTTCCAGAAGAACTAACTCTTAAGTCAGTTTCATGACTTGCCCATGTTGTCGTGGCACTAATTCAGCAGAAGCAGAAGACAGTGTACTTACTTGTAACTGATCGGTGATCTGCATACAGTATTTTTTTCCAACAAATTATTTAAATGACACCTACATGGCATCTTGAAATCTTAATAAAAATGACACTTATGAGTGTACCCAATTCCATCCCTTTGCAAAATGTCATGACACTAATTTGGGGTTTCATCACTACCATCGTTACCCTCATCTAGTGCTCTTAGGATGGAAGTCCTTGTTATCACATCTGCCCTTCTCTGCACAGCCCCTTTAGCACTTCCCAGTTTCCCAGCCAGAATGGTCAAGACTATGAAAGAGTCAAACAGGTTATCTCTGGGCTTCATTGCCCTCAGCCCTACCCATCAGAAGTCCCAGACATCTCTACTATCCAGAGCTCCTGAACCAGGCACTAACACCCCCATACCCTTAGTCCTCTTGCTGTTCCCCAGCAGACATGCATCCTCAGTGTTGAAGGGTCAGAAAATGTCCTGGGCTTCCTGCCAATGCCTACTCATCAAGAGTAAATTTGGGATTCCAGCTATGTCCTCCCCAGCCCTCATCCCCGACCCCTCTGCTTTACTTCTTCTCAGATCCTAGGATCTGCTCTCCCTAGCCTCCTTAACTGCCACCTCTCATCCTTTAATCTAGAATTTCTGTGGAGCTGACTGAAGGGCAAGGTCCACGTCTGACTGTTCCCTAAACCTGTTACAACTTCTCTGCTCCTCACACTGCACAGTAGGGGGTCTGTTCATTCTTCCCAGATGAATAAATTCAACCATATTGTCTAACCTTTATTGTTATGGACTAAAGGTTTCCCCCTCCCAAATTCATAGGTTGAAGCCCTAACCCCCAATGTGATGGCAGGGCCTCTGGAAGGCAGTTAGGTTTCAATGAGGTAATGAGGGTGGAGCCCTGTAATAGGATTCATGTCCTTGCAAGAAGAAGACCAAGCAGAGCATGCTCCCTCTCTCTCTCTCCCCCTCCCTCCCTCTCTCTCTCCTCTCTCTCCTCTCTCTATCTCCTCTCGCTCTCCTCTCTCTCTTGCTGTCTCCTCTCTCCTCTCTCTCTTTTCTCTCTCTCCTCTCTCTTCTCTCTCTCTCTCTCTCTCCTCTCTCTCACTCCCTCTCCTCTCTCTTTCTCTCTCTCTCGCTCCCTCTCCTCTCCCTCTCTTCTCTCTCTCTCTCCTCTCTCTCTCTTCTCTCTCTCTCTCTCTCCTCTCTCTTCTCTCTCTCTCGCCTCTCTCTTCTCTCTCTCTCTCTCCTCTTTCTCTCTCTCTCCTCTCTCTCGCTCCCTCTCCTCTCTCTCTCTCTCTCTCTCTCTCTCCATACACAAAGAAGAGGTCATGCAGGCACACAGTGAAATGGTAGCCATTTGCAAGCCAGGAAGAGGACCTCACCAAAACCCAAATTTGCTAGCACCTTGACCTTGGACTTCCCAGCCTGCAGAACTGTGATAAATAAATGTCTATGGCCACTCAGTATGTGGTATTATGCTATAGTAGCCTAAGCTAAGATACTTACTTTGCCAAGAACTATGCTAAGGCAACTTTACATCAAAGGCCGTATTTATGTCCTAACTTGCCCAGCTCAGGTGACTCTCGTCATCTCTCAACTTGTCAACAAGGACATTAAGGCCCAGAGAAGGTAAATGATCATCCCAAAGACACACAGAAGAATGGAGTAGAGTTTGGATGGGAAGTGAAATCTTCAGATTTTGTAGGAAGGACCTAAGATATGTTTGTTAATGAATTGGAATCAAAGAACGTTAGAGCTAGAGGGGCCTTCAACTATTTGCAGTTCAACCCCATAATACGTGCATGAAGAAACCAAGGCGGGGAAAGGAACATGACTCCTGGCAGTTCCTGGCAGAGCCCAAGGGCCCTGGATGAGGGTGTGTGCGGGGAGGGGGACAGGGGCCGAGACTTCCAGCACACTGTTCCTGTCCCCACACTCCCTCTGACTGCAGCTTAACATCAGGGATGACAAGAGAAGCATCAAATAGAAAACGACCAGAGATAAAAGATGCATGAGGATTAAGAAAGAAAACTTCAGCCTTCACAGGGGGAATCACAAAATGGAGCAAAGTCCCCACTGACTATCGGACTCACATGTCCTAGTGCTCTATTGGTGAGCCCTCGGGAGAAAGCAAGAGAGCAGAGAGCAAAGGGGATATAAATGAGAGAGAATTACAGTTCAGAGAGAAAAGAGATGTGCCAAAGCAGGAGTGATGGCTAAGGAGGGGACAAACGTCCACCTCTTTCCCCTCTCCCCCCAGATGCTCACACAGTAGAGGCTTCAGAAGTTCTACAAAGGAGGGGCTCAGATGGCTGGTGGGAGGCAGAGGTGGGGTGCTGGGGTTCCCATACTCGCGGCGTGGTCTCCCAGTGAGCGGCCCTGGCATCACCTGGGAGATGATTAGAAATGCAGTTTCCTGGAGCCCCACTCCAGACCTACCAAATCTCGATCTACATTTTAACAAGATCCGCAGGTGAGATATATGCGCAATAAAACTTGAGAAGCAATTCCCTCAACACCCTGCTTGCAGAGAAAGCACGGCGTTTTTTTTAAGATTGTGCATTTGTTTGGGACGGTTTAAGGAGGTTGATGAAATGTATGAGGGTGAAGAGGAAAACTAATGCTCCCCAAATTGGCCTTTGGCGCCATCATGGTGCCTTCCAGCATAAAAAAAGAAGATTGGGAGGGATTAGAAAGGCCTATGGGGGACGAGGGAGAACTGAAATACCTGCTGATGACAGAGGGCTGGGGATGGCAGGGGGCAGAATGTGGAGGAAGACAGTCTGGACTTTTTTCCCCATGTGGCTTCTTTTAAAATAATCCATGCTGGCAAATCTGGTTCTGCTTACAATGGCAGCTAGCCATGGCCAAGTCAGTGACACCCCTCCCTCTAGACACAAGCACACAGTCCCCACTCTAAAAAGCATGAACGTGCTATCATGCATCCAATCCTGACCCTGACACCACCACCCCCAACCCACCCAACTGGGACTTTCTATGGAAGCTCAGCTTAGGACAGGGCTGCGGGAAGATCTCGGGGCAGCTGCAGCTTCTAAACCACCCCTGGGAAGGAATGGCCCACAGGAAAGCCCCCTGCAGGACATCTGGTCATGGAGCCTAAAACGCCCTGCCCAAGGAGGGGCAGGAAACCATCCAACAGCAGCAGGCTGGGAAGATCATGACAGAACCGGCCACTGGGGAAAAGGGTGCTAACAGCCGCCCAGGGCAGGGAGCATGTTCCCAGAGGTTGCCACACTGGGATAAAGAGCAAGGTGCGGTGGATCACTGAGCTACATGTGCCAGGTGCCAATTCAGCCAAAAGTCAGAGTGGCCAGGCCAGATCCTGAGAAACAAGTTATTTCCCAAGGAAGCCCACCTTTCCTGAGGAAGCCCCCTGTTGCTAACCAGGCTACACAATCACTCCTAGCAAAGCATCAAAACCAGAGAGTGACTGCTTATCAAAAAACCAAATAAATACAAACTTCCTTGGGCAGAAGGAAACCAGCTGGGCCTGCAATGACAGAACAGCTTTGAAGCCAGACGAGCCTCTACCCAGAGATCACTGTGTGGGCTCAGGTGAGTGGGTTTAACTGAGCCTGGGCTTCCTTGGTTGAAAAATAAAGGTTAATAGCATCTACCCTGGGACTGTGAGGGCGGGTGGGTATGTGTACCCAGCACAGGGCCTGATCCACAGTAGGCACTCAAGAGCTATTAGTCTAACCTCCTCCACCATGTGCATGATGGAGTTCAGGTAAGATGCCAATCTAGGCTCTGTGACCAGCTAAAGCAAGCCCAGCTCTCTCTCATCTCATTGCCCTAGGTCTGGTTCAATCCCCATCAGGACCTGATCCTGACAGTTGATTAGCCTTTCCAACTTGCCCCTTTCCCCATTGAGTGCACCCCTAGGCCTTTTCAAGGCTTACCCAAGAGCTACAGATCTATCAATATTCCTGCAGATTTTTGGTGTTTGTAGATCAGTAAGACCCAAACCAACTAAACCCAACACCCCTTGTTTATGGGAGTTACAAAATATATGTCGTAAACAGGGGTGAGTACCTACCTACATAGCAATATAGTGTCCTAACTTTAAAACTGAAAGCCATCAGAAGAAAATCCTACGTGAAGTTAGCAGATGTGTGAACTTACGATGGATACGTATGCATTGAAGAGAAGATAATATTTAATACTGTTGTCATTTTTTCCTTTATATTTGCCATTTTGAAATAAGGCTAAATTAGTATTTTTATACAACTACATACAATTTTTCTGAACGGGAAAGCTACAAATGCAGTCCAGTACAGAGGTGTTGTCTTGTTGACTCTAGTACTATGTGAGCAGCATTACCATGGGTGATGTGATCTTCCAAAATGATGGATTAAGAGTTGATAAAGTTCCAAACAAAATGAAGGATAACCTACCTGCAACTTTCAACAGGGTAGATGTGCTCCGGGAAGAGTGTACGATAAAACCATGTTTTTAAAGAAATCCACTTTTTCTTGTATGAAAGTGAAATTGAGGTCTTGGCCCATGTGACTATGAACTGGTTTTTCTCCTACATGATTGTTCTGGCAGGATGTTTAAAAAAAAAAAAAATGTGTAGGACTCAGGACAGTTCTTCATTGTGAGGGACTGCCTTTGCAATGTCTCTAGCATCCATCACCATTACCAAATGACAGCAGAACGACCCCCATCATTGTGACAACCAAAACTTCTTAAAATTTTGGGATTCCCCCTAGGGAGCCAAACTGTCCCACTGAGGACTGAAAACAGGAATGCACGCTAACACAAGCCTCATGTTAATATCTACAGCTGAATATCTGTCAAGTTAGGAGGGACTCAAGCGTCATCCGGCCCATCCTTCCCTTCTAGCAGGCACATCAGAACCTCCAAGGAGTGTTTCCAAATCCCCATGTCAGGGCTTTCCTACGTTCCCTGGTGAATGAGGGGTGGGGCCCAAACATCTGTATTTTGAACATCCCCAGATAAAAGTTGCTAAATTCTATCCATTCTCATCAATTTCTATGCCTTGGTCCCACAGCTAGTGGAAACCGAACCTAGAATTCCTGCTGTAGAAGCCCAGGCCCATAAAACATGATGAAACTTATAGGTTCTCGTGCTGGCTTTGAGACTCACATGCTGTATGGCTTTGGATTCACCCTTTACCCTCTCTGGGTCTCAATTTCCTGAGCTCAAAATTGGATAGAGAGGGGAAGCTGCTCTCCAACTCTTTCAGTCTAGAATTCTCTATGCCCTACTTGGGTTACACTTCCCAGAAGCCTCTGTTTAGAAACTCTACCTCTCTGTGCCCAGGGTCCCAGGAGGGGCCCTTGATCACAGAGTTATTTGGTTGGAGAGGGTGTCTGCCCTGGTCCTGCACTGAGGATGCGTGGTGTGGCCAGAATGCCCTGGGAGGCCAGCGCCTTCTCCCTCTCCCTCCCCTTCAGTGTTGACACAGATGGGATGCAATGAAGAGTAATGTTAAGTCCTGTGTAAACAGAGGACCAGGGGGCCAATTAGTAACCTTGACCCATGGTTACTCCTTGCCTGGCCCTGCAGAACCGGTTTCCAGGACTGACTCACTCAGAGGAGCTGGGCTTCGGGCAGCTGGGCGGGCAGCAGCTATATCCGGAGCTCAGGGTCAGGGTAGAAGGAGAGGGCGTCCATCTCTGCAAGCAGATGGAAAAGATTTTATGTCTTATAAAATTAAAGAAATTTTCCCCAGTTTTTTGTTTTTTTTGTTTTTTTTTTTAAGCTAAGGGCAGTTGTTCTCCATGCTCCATGCTTGGGGGAATGGACCGAGGCAGAGGGATCAAGGACAGCGTGAGCTGAGAGGGCAGGCTGAGCAGGAGTTAACCAGGCAGAGAGATGCAGGAAGAGTGTTCCAGCTGAGGAAACTGTATATGCCGAGGCCCAGAGGTGGGCTCAGGAAGGCCAGCGAGCACGGCATTAGGGGGAGGGGAGGGAGAGGCAGGTCAGTAGGGACAGATGTGTAGGGCAGGTGTACAAAGGCACATGCCTTCAGGGGCCCAAGCAGGTAATGGGAGAGTTACCATTTGGGAATGTAGACCTCAGGCTCGTTCATTCATCCATTCAACTATTTAATGTTAGGTTGCAGTATCCTGGGTTGGGGAATGAATCACTGAGCAAAACAAAAGATCTCTGCGTCATGCAATTTACATTCTAGTGGAAGGAGACAGACAAATAAACAGAATAACTAACTATATGGCAAGTTAGAAGGTGCCAAGGGCTATGGAAAAAGAAGCAAAGCCAAGTATGGGAAATAGAAAGTGTGGGGCATAGAGCGGGATGTCATGGGTGCTGCAGTTTTAAGTAGAATGGCAGGCAAACGCAACATGTGATGACTCTTCATCCTTAGTTAGCAACAGGAAACAGCAAGCCAGCATAATTTCTGGACAAAAAGAGCACAAAAATATTGTAGGACCATGTTGTGTTCTTGTGGCAATTTGCATAATCTGTCTTGTGACCATGATGTAACTTGCTGAATCAACCCCTCTTTGTTAATTCCATCTTTCTCTCCCAAGAGAGAGAAAAGAAATGCACAGTTGCATAGCGATTGTCAAGTGATCTAAAAGGTCATAAAGAAGAATATGACTAAGGAACTCCCAGAACTTTGGGCAACTTACTTAATTGTTTTGAAGTTTTGTTTTTTCATCAGAGTATACTATATGTACAGACCAGTCCACAAATCAAAGAGTAGAGCTTGATGAATACGCATGGCGTGAACATCAGTGTTCAGCACCCCTAACATGAAACAGAGTATGGCCAATTCGACTGTTTTTAAACAAATGCAACTGAGAACTAGATGGAGACGGTAAGTGTCCTGAGACCTCAGGGCCCTGTAGGATACAGTATTTCTAACTTTATCGAAAGAGCAGTAAGCAGCCATTGAGGTCCTTTTAATCAAGGAGCTGACCGTATCACATTTGTCTTTTAAAACAATTCCTCCGCATAGTACAGAGAATGGCTGGAAGCCCAAATGGCAGACTAGGTACAGGCTTTTGCTTTCATCTCAGCAAAGAGTGAAGACAACTGGCTCTAGGATAGAACAAGGGTGTGAGCTTAGAAGATGGACTCTTGGAAAGTGAGATAAACAGAGTAAAAGGAGCTTCCCAGAACTACAGTCCACCCTGTGCCCTGACTGGCAGGCTGCCATGTGTGACCAAGCTAGCAGCCCCAGGGGAAAAGTCACATTCATAGCTCAAGACAAACTAACCCATGTCTAGTGAGCTGTACCTTTAACCTGTTAGAGCAGGATTGGGGTACCTCTCCCTTAACCACGGGATTCTTTCTGACCTGATCATTTCCCCCAAAATAGAGTTGGTGGTAGCAGTAACCAACAGAGTGGTTACATTCATGCTGAGGCTGTTTCTATCTACCCGAGTGTTGTCGGCTGAATTATGTCCCCCAACAATTCATATGCTGAAGTCCTAACTCTCAGTACAGTGCCTCAGGATGGGACATTCTTTGGAAGAGGGGTCATTGCAGATGTAATTAGTCAAGATGAGGTCACACCAGAGTGAGGTGGGCCCCTAATCCAATATAACCGGTGTCCTTTAAAAAGGGTAGATGTAGACACATACATGCACACAGAGAGAATGCCATGCGGAGATAAAGGCAGGGATGGGAACTATGCTTTTACAAGTCAAAGAGCACCAAGGACTGCCAGCAAACCACCAGACTGGGGCAGAGGCATTGGGCAGATTCTGTCTCACGGCCCTTAGAAGGAACCGGTCCTGCGACACCCTGATCTCAGATTTCCAGTCTTCAGAACAGTGAGACAATAAACGTCTGCTGTTCAAGCTACCCTGTTTATGGTCCTCTGTTACAGCAGTCCTAGCAAATTAATACACCTAGATTCTCAAACTAGCCCCACACTTCAATAGGTTCACAAAGGAGGAATGGGAAGGGCAGGGTGACACGACCACTCCTAGTTGCCTTACATCCCCTCTGAGCGTCCAACTGTTGGAGCAGTGACTGGGGTCGGGAAGCCTCCAGAAGCCCTGGGGTCCACCGCTGACTGGCTTCATGGTGGGCAAAAGCAGCCTGAAGCTCGTCCTTGTGGATGTGCTTAAGGGGCCTGCTACAGTCAGTTTTGGGGTGCAAAGAAACACCTGCCGCTTAGGGACAGGTATTGCAGGGGGCACTGCAAAGGAATCCACTCATTCAGACATATTTCAAATACCCACTCTTACTATCCACTTCTCATGTAATTCATGTACTCCAAATGTTTAAACCATTTCCACTGGCTGCGCAGTCAAACATCTAACTCAACACTGCCTTGTTATTGCATCATCTTAGACTCAATTAAAAACTCGTTTTGGTCAAATATCCTTACCAGTCCCTCCAATATACAAATCATTTCAGTCCTTTAAAGCAAGTTGTTTATCGCTATAGGCCTGCTTCTGATCCTGGCTACATCCCCCCGGGGACGTCTTACAAAGTCTCCGGTTGACAGCAAAAGGTCCTGAGGGGATTGCTCAATGTTGTCTCTGGAAACAACCTCACAACTATAAAAACAAGTCAAAACCAAGCCTTAGTGGCGGAGAATCAGTTACAGAAAATACATGAACAAGGGTCAGCAGAGATTGCCCGGGCCACACCCCAGGCTGTTTGAAAAGCGCTTACCTGATGTCGTCCATAAATGATAATCCATAGCAATAATCATCTATCAATGGATGTACTGATCTGTCTGTGAATTAGATCATATCTGGAGAGGATGCCCTCCAAGGGAAGGTACCAGACAAGGCCCAGTTAATTGAATGTTCTTCTTGAACTTGGTCCACAAGGCCCCTTATGATCAGCCCCTGCCTCTCTCTGCCTTCATCTCCCCCATCTCTACCTCACCCTCAGACTTTATACCCCAGGCATCATTAGAGTAACTATGTAATTAATCATCCAATCTGGGACACTTTTGAGACTGAGGACATAACTAATAAGTTTTCTGGGACTGCAGGCGTAATAACCTGGGCTGTGTTGCGCCATCTGGGATTTCTGGTTTCCCTAGTCATGTGGAGTTACTTAGAGTTGCATAACATGCCATGGGCTCTTACAGAGTTGTCATCACAAAGAGGGCCGAGGCTTGATTTACGTGACTGTAAGAATAAATCAAGAATATTGACTGGAAGCTTCAAGGAGATATATTTTAGTTCAATATTAAGAAGAACTTTCTAGCCAACAGGACTACACAGAAAATGGACAGGCAACCTTGGGCAGTAGAGAGCTCCCTGTCACTAGAGCTGTTTTGTTGACAAATACTAGCATACAGTGGGTAGGACTTCTGAGGCGAGGACTCAGGCATGTAAGGGGTGAATACGAAGAATAACTACCTTAGACTCTGTTTCATCTATTCATTCATTCAATGAATATTTATTGGGCATGAGGCATTGCACCAGGAGTTTGATGAATTAGTACAAAACAAATATACCCATGTAACCACCATGCAGAGCAAGGCCCTATGCTTGGTGATAAACAAGATAGATGTGGCCTCTAACCTCTTGGAGCTGACAGGCTTGCAGAAGAGATACATGAGATTGTAAGAATTATTGGGTATTCAAAGAGAGTATGAGGGGAGAACTTGGGATGGGAGTCAAAGAAGGGACATGTAAGTCGAAAAGGGATGAATGTAGGAAACTTGTCTGGTGCCATGATCTTAGATCTTTCTGGAGAGCTCAGACTTATTCTCTCTTCTCTGATGCCTGCTTTTCCACGTTGGGTAAGCTTCCTGACTGCTGACTTAGACCAGTCTATAGCTGCCAGCTCCAGAGCTGTGAGTCCTGTTCAGATGACACGTTACCAGGTAACTGACCATCCTAGGGGAGACAGGAGGGGTGGAGGAGCCATGTGGGGTCGTTAGTCACGCCTCTTTCTTTCCTCCTTTATTCTCTAAAAGATCATCAGAAGGCTAGTCACACAGACTTCAGGACAATAGAGGCACAGGCAATGCCATGGCAGGTAAACCCCAAGAGCCTGGCAGAGACTCAACTTTCAGAGCAGCCAGCTCTCATCAAAGCACCCAGTGATACTGGCCACAATCCAAAATCTCATGTATGAAGCAGAAGAGACAACAGGTGAGATAAAGGGCATGTGATCACAGGATTTTCTCCTGTACATTGATGGGAAATAATACCAGGATAATACAGCGTATAAATAAGTACTAGGGATGTATGGTACAACATGATAAATATAATTCACGCTGCTGTATGTTATATATGAAAATTGTTAAGAAAGTAAATCCTGAGGGTTCTCATCACAAGGAAAAAATATTTTTTTTCTATTTCTTATATTTTGTATCTGTATGAGATGATGGATGTTCACTAAACTCATTGTGATAATCATTTCATGATGTATGTAAGTCAAATCATTATGTTGTACACCTTAAACTTGTACTGTGCTGTATGTCAATCATATCTCAAAAAAACCGGTAGGAAAAATAAATCAGTTAAAAAAAACAAAATCCCATCAAAAATTTTTGTAGATGCAGATAAATTATTCTAAAATTTGTATGGAAAGGCAAAGGAACTAGAAGAGTAAGGACAACCTTAAAAGACAAGGCTGGAAATCTGCAATATTGTGATTTATCATAAGAAATAGGTATCCATTTAGTCTTCATCTTCATTCCTAGCTCCTAAAACCCTTGGAATTTCCTAAGTGATGAGACAGCTAAAGGTGACTTTTGTTATTCATAACTGGTTCTTTCAATCACACACCTGACTATGTTACTGAGGTAATATTTGGTTGCCAGGGGAACCTTTCAGCCCTAACCCCCTGACCTGGGGCTGGTGGTAGACTCTATCACCAATGGCCAATGATTTAATCAATCACCCTTACCTATTGAAACCTCCACGAAACCCCAGAAGGATGGTGTTTGAAGAGCTTCCAGGTTGGTGAGAGGTCCACATGTTGGGAGTGGTACACCCCAGTTCCAAAGGGACAGATGCTCCTGTACACGGGATCTTGCTCTAGGTACCTCTCCATCTGGCTGTTCATCTGTATCCTTTATAATAACCCTTTACAATAAACTGTAAACATAGGTAAATATTTACCTGAGCATTGTGAGCCATTCTAGCAAACTTTCAAACCTGAGGAGGGGATCGTGAGAGCCCTAATTTAACACTGGTCAGTCAGAAATACAGATGACACAAAGCGAGAGAGAGGCATAGACATATATACACTACCAAACGTAAGGTAGATAGCTAGTGGGAAGCAGCCGCATAGCACAGGGATATCAGCTCGGTGCTTTGTGACCGCCTGGAGGGGTGGGATAGGGAGGGTGGGAGGGAGGGAGACGCAAGAGGGAAGAGATATGGGAACACATGTATATGTATAACTGATTCACTTTGTTATAAAGAAAAAACTAACACACAATTTAAAAGAAATTTACCCCCAATAAAGATGTTAAAAAAAAAAAAAGAAATACAGATGACAACTTGGACTTGCGACTGGTGTTGTTACCAACAAGGGCTCACGTGCCTGCGGCCACAGAAAGCCAAATTCTGACAGCGGGTGTTGGCGGCAAAGTAAGGGTTTTATTGCATCACACCCAGCAAGGGAGTGGGAGACAAGTCTCGTGTCCACTCCATTTGGTCTTTGAGTGAGGGATGTTTTGAAGGGTAAGAACAAAGAGGCGGGGATTAACCATCATCAGGTAACATCTCTCTGACACTCAGGTTCCGGGGCTCAGGATGTCTCTGGTTTTGGATTCTCTGGCCAGGTGGTCCATGGCTCAAGGGCCTGTTATCTCACCTTGCCCTGGAGAAACAATCTGAGTTTGTTCGTTAATGATGATATCTATAGTAGCAACCTGAGTACATTAACGATGTTATCGTGTTATCGACAACAGCAGTTTTAGTCATCTGACCCTGGTCGATGAGTGTTCAGTTAGCACAGGATTGAGGTCAGAGAGAACAAGAAAGGGAATAAAGTTTTGGATTGAGAGATTAATCATCAACTCAGTAAGGGAACTTAGTTTCAGCGGGACGCTCAGTTTCTGAAATGGGGGCAACCTTATGGGACTGGGCCCTTAACCTGTGGGGTCTGATGCTGTCTTCAGGCAGACAGTGTCAGAATTAAGTTAAACTTGTAGGACACCCAGTTGGTTCCTGCTGAAATGGGGAAATGCTCAGTGTGGGAAAAACCCCATACATCTGGGGTCAGAAGTATTGAGAATGGAGAAAAAAAATAGTTTTCTCCAATGAAGTTTTATACCACTAGATATCAAGATGTATTTAAAACTACAGTTACTAAGAGAGTGTAGTATTGGCAGAATGCTAGACCCATAGTGCGCTCGAAAAGAACGAGTCCAGAGACAGACCCACACATACATGGACACTTGAATTTTGATAAAGGTGATACCAGAGAGAAGCAAGTCAAAGACAGTGTTTTTAAAAATGGTGCTGGTCAAATAGATATTTGTAGGGGGAAAAATATGGCTCTTGACGCCTATCTTACACCTTACACAAAAAGCAATTCCAGACTGATCATAGCTCTAAATGTGAAAAGTAAGATAGTAAACTTTCTAGAAAATAATATGAAAAATATCTTCATAACTTTGGGTAGGCAAAGAGCTCTTAAGTAGGACACAAACTCCATTCATCACTAAGGACAAAATTCATCAACTGGGCTAAGTTAAAATGAGAAATTTCTCTCCATCAAAAGACTGCATTTTGGGGCTTCCCTCGTGGCGCGGTGGTTGAGAGTCCGCCTGCCGATGCAGGGGACGCAGGTTCGTGCCCCGGAAGATCCCACATGCTGCGGAGCGGCTGGGCCTGTGAGCCATGGCCGCTGAGCCTGCGCGCCCGGAGCCTGTGCTCTGCAACGGGAGAGGCCGCAACAGTGAGAGGCCTGCGTACCGCAAAAAAAAAAAAAAAAAAAAAAAAAAGGATTAGCACAGTGCCTGGCACATAAGAAGTATTCCACAAAATTTTATAGTGCTCCTCTTATAACTGAGGCATCCCAGCAGGAGGACTGTACTTCAAACCATTTACAGGCAGACAGAATCTCTCTCCTCTTTTTGACGCTCCGTAAAGAGCAGTCAGAAGGGTCTCCTCTCATAAACCTTATAAACCAGTGTTGAGGGCATTCCATACGATACCCCCTTCAATCCCAAAGCTGCAATCTGCACGGAGACCCGGTGTTCAGTTTTAAACAACACAGTGGTAGGGGAAAGAAGTGCAAGGGGAGGATGAGTGGGTTTTATTCTCGGCTGAGTCAGGTCACATTGTGGGAAATCCCCCAGGTGAGCTGAAAGCAGCACAGCGGGGCTGGCAGGAGGGAAGAAAGCTCTTTCCTTTCAAATACAGTCTTATTTGTCATAGTAGCCATCAGGATTCCCAGAAGCATGCAAGAGCGGGGCTTTCAGAATGGTTTCAAAGGGGTCACCTCATTCCTGCAGAGACAAGCCCAGGAGAAGCCAGAGCCTGAAGGGAGAACATTCTGACCCGTGTGGATGGAAAAGCACTGGAGGCAAGGCCAAGCTCAGAGGCCCCCCCACCCCGCCCCGAATGGGGCACTGCAGTGCTTTGCATCCCCACCCCTCAGTGGGGAGGGGCAGAACTTCTGAAGAACTTGGGTTTGCCTCTAGCTATCCTCCTTCCTGCTCTTCCTCCCCAGCAGAGGACACAGAGTCTAGAAGCCTTGGGCCACTGATATGAAGCCAGGGGTGCCGAGAAGGAAGACCCTCGACTAGGCCCACCCCCATCCATTCTGAGGCCCAGCAGCCTCACTCCTAGGACAGCACCAAGCATCGTCTGCAAACCCTTGCATTGTTTACAGACTCTGTGTACACCCCTCACAGCCTCTGATCTCACGTCAGCCCTGTGGACAAAGGATTATCCCGGTCCCCTGTTTCAGCAGTCCAAGTTGAGCCTCAAAGAAACAAAGTAAACTACCCATGGTAGTTCTCAGGCTCAGGACCCATCCCATCCCCCTCCATCTCCCCTCCACCAAGATACCAATTACAGATCATCTATACTTCAATTAAAAAAAAAAAAGATACCAATCACAGTGATTATTATTACCACTTTTGAGCATCTCTTGTGCACCAGGCATATGACTAGGTGCTTCGCTTCTATTAGTTTGTTTGTCCTTCAGAACAACCTGAGCAGTAGGTGAGGGTACCCCATTTTATTGGCTCAGAGAGGGTAATAACATAAGTTATCATACTTGGTGCCAAGCACTATTCTAAACACTTTCATGTGTATTACGTCATGCAATCTCAAAACTCCCGTGAGAATAAGTGCAAGTATCATCTCCATTTCAAAGACAGAGGAACTGAGGCTCGGAGACATCAGGTGAATTGTCTGAGGCCTCATAGCTAGGAAGTAGAGCTGGAATTGGAACCAAGTATTCTTACCACTGTTCCACACCTCTGGCAGTACAGACGACTTACTCAAGGTGGCACATCTAGGGAGTGTCAGAATCCCATGGAAACTCCTGCCGAACTGAAAGCCCAGGGTCCTCCCACCCAGCTAACCTGCGTAGAGTAGGGCTGCAGGGATGCTTTGGATCCTGTTGGCGGCCTCCTCCTCTCCATCTAAGAGACAGCTCTCTGCGAATCAATCCCCAGAAATAGGACGCATGGAGACAGACCCCCTCCGTGGTGGCAGACAGCCCGGTCAGGCTGACAGAGCTGGCACCCAGCCCAACCAAACTTTTTGCCAGGTTTTCTCTCTCTGCCTGATGCTCGCTGGCTGAAACCAGCCCCTGATTCTCATTTTCTCCCTTGGTCCCCATTGAAAGCGCTGAATGGGAGATAGAAAGGGAGCTTGGAGGGAGGCAAGCAGGTCCTAGAGCGAGCCTTCCTGACCCTCCAGGAAGGGTAAGAGAAGCTGGATGGGGGTGAGGAGAGGGGTGCCGGGCTTCTGGAGTTGTGGGGCAGAGGTAACCTAGCAACCACTGGCTCATGCAGTCACAAAGCGACAGGCTTACCCACAGAACTGACGAGCCTTTCCGTTGATGCGTCCTTTTGCTCTTTCCTGCTGGGGCAGCAAGGGCTACTCACCCACATGCTATAGCGGCCACTTTCCTCCGTGAGTCCAGGGATCTCCACAGGGCAGGAAATGGGCACTCCAGACAGCCCAGGGCCTGGGGGAGGACCCAGAGGGGCCAAGAGGGGAAAAGGGAAGTTCTGTCTCTGCATTGGTGTCATCAGGCCCCTTGTGCCTGGCCAGCTGGGGGCCCAGGGAGAGAGGGAAGGAAGGTCAGGGTCAGATTCAGTGGGGCCCCGGCCTGGCTTGCTCTGGAAAAGGCAGGCCTGGCCCGCTAGAGGCTCTGTTGACCTCTTCACAGCAGCTGTGGGCTATGACCCATTAGTGGCTTATAAAATCAATTTAATAGTTTGCATCTAACACTGACAAAATGAAAACAAAAAATAGGATGAAACTATCAGTATGCATCATATATAACAAGGGTAAGAATTGCTTCAGTTTCACACACACACACAAATGCATGCACACTTGTGTGCGTGAATTGGGTTATGATGTAAAAATGAGTTTCTTACTATGGTCACAGTCAAAAGTATTTAAAAGTCTCTGTTCTATCGAGTCTTTTTCCTGTAGGCAGGTGGGTATGGGGCATCCCAATGCCCTGTCCTCAACCCTGCAGCATCTAAGTGCTCTAGAGCCTAGCCCCCATCACTAAGGATGTCCAAACTTCCTTCAAAGGAAGCCCTGCCAACTGATTTTCTCTGTAGGCAAAGATCAGGAGACTTTGAGTCAGGATGCCTGGCTCCTTGCTGTTTGATCTCCAAGTCTCTCCTCTTACCCGATCTCAGGCAGTGCTGTCTGCTCCCCTCCACCCTAACCTGATGGAAGGCTGGCCCTGGGCGATCTCTGGGGTCCCTTGCAGATTCTATGACTCAGATGGTTAATTCTCAGAATGCACTGATTTCCTGCTTCAACCCCATCCTTGGCACCTGCAACCCCAGCACTATATGTACAGATCCATAGATTTAGATTAATCACAATTCTTGGCTTTAACACCTATTATCTTTCATTCATGTCATCACCAGTAAATGCACTTCTCAAACCAAGAACTAGAATACCACCATCAACACATCATATTTGCTCCTCTCCTCCCCCCCTCCCCTTCCCACCTGCCCCCAGAAATAGCCTCTATCTGAATTTTGTGTTTAGCGTTCATTGCTTTTTTTTCTTGTTTTATCACGTTTATGATAATTTTCCTTGCTTTTTCTTTCTTTCTTTCTTTCTTTCTTTTTTAATTTTGGTTGTGCCGGCTCTTAGTTGCAGTAGGCAGGCTCCTTAGTTTTAGCTCGCCGGCTCCTTAGTTGCAGCACGTGTACTCTTTATTTGAGGCCAGTGGGCTCCTTAGTTGCGGTTCACTGGCTCCTTAGTTTTGGCATGCATTCTCTTAGTTGCGGCATGCATGTGGGATCTAGTTCCCTGAACAGGGGTCGAACCTGCGTCCCCTGCATTGGAAGGTGGATCCTTAACCACTGCGCCACCAGGGAAGTCCTCTAATTTTGCTTGCTTTTGAACTTTATCTTTATTATTATTATTATTATTTTTTTTTGCGGTACGCGGGCTTCTCACTGTTGTGGCCTCTCCCGTTGCGGAGCACAGGCTCTGGACGCACAGGCTCAGCAGCCATGGCTCATGGGCCCAGCCACTCCGCAGCATGTGGGATCCTCCTGGACCAGGGCACGAACCCGTGTCCCCCGCATCGGCAGGCGGACTCTCAACCACTGCGCCACCAGGGAAGCCCTGAACTTTATCTTTAAAAAGCATCTCAGGCCATATGGTCTCCTGCAACTTGCTTTCCTGGACTTAGCATCACATTTGTAAGATTCATCTATGTTGATGCGTGTAGCTGTGGTTCGTTCATTGTCGTTGCAATATAACGTTCAATCGTCTGAATGGACCACAGCATATTTATCTATTCTTCTGCCACTGGACATTTAGATTGTCACCAGGTTTTTGCTAATTTGAACAATGTTGGTTTGAATATTCTTACACATAGCCCCCTTTGCATATCTGTAAGAGTTTCTCTGGGGTATATTTCTGGGAGAGGAATTGCTGGGTGATATGGCATGCAAATGTTCAATTTTATAAGATATTGCCAATTTTTTCCCCTAAAGTCTGTTCCGGTTTACACTCCTACTACCAGTCAACAAGAGTTCCTGTTATCCATCTTCAACACTAGTATTAAATTCACCGGTCCTTACTCTGTTAGAGGCCCTACAATGGCTACGGAAGTGAGGACCCAATTGGCAGAGCATCCACTGACGAGGTAAGGTCCCAAATGCCTTCCCTGCTGACCAAGGAGGTGGAGGGGGCCGGGGTGGGCGGAAGACAAAGGAACTCAACAAACTGAGGGTCCAAGTGGAGATCACCTTCCACTGCCATCAGCCAGGCCCCCAGTGGGTTCTCAGGCCTGAGTTAGCAAAGTCACAAGCAGGGCCCCTCCTGCGTAGGGAGAGAGTCACAGGCAGGGGTCAGGAGCACAGAAATTCCAGGGGTTTTCAGGGGCTGACTTCTGTTAGTTGGGGGTAGCGAGGGCCAGCTAACAGCGACTTTCAGAGAAGGTTTGCTTTATTTCTTTAAGTCCCAGACCCCTTAGAGGCGAATCGAGGACGGAACAGGAAACTCAGGGGCCTGGTCAGCGAGATCCGCAGAGGTTCCTGGGGCAAAACGCCTTGCTTAGCATATCCAGAGTCCATCTATACGCCTCCAGAGGGACTCCCTTCAGCCAGGACCACCGGAAGGGAAAGCAGACAGTGAGCAGGCAGGTGGTCCCACCAGGCCCCTGGCGGACAGCAGCCCACCTTTGGATCCTCGCTGGACCTACTCCATCGCCTCCTCCGGGGGCAGAAGCACAGCGTCCTCAGGAGAGGGAAGGGGTGCGGGTGGAGGACAGAGAACCTGAGACGCTTGTCTCCAGCGAAGCGAAGCAAGAGCTTGAGGCTTCCCTGCAGCGACGCAGCCCTGACAGCCTCCCTGTCACCTCTGCATCTCCCGGGAGGGGCCCCCACGGGACAAGGACTCGCTGGCCTAGTCTGGCCTTGGCGCCAGCTTCAGCCCCTGGACGCTGAGTCTGGGCCAAAACTGCCCCTGAGGGCAAGGGGGGAGGATGACAGCCTATAGCTGGCTTCTCTTGGGCTGCCAACAGTTTGGCTTGGGGAGAGGCCCATGCTAGGGTCAGCCCCCTGGCCCTGGAGGTGTATATAATGTACCTTTGCTCCAGTCCAGGTATTTGGATGAGTAGGTGGGTCTATGGCTTCTCTTTCTGGCTTTAGAAATGGTTTCTGAGAGAAAACTGGGGTCCTGGCTCCCTGCTCAGGCATCTTAGGAAGACAGAAGGGTCCCTGGGGCCGGATGGCATGGCGGGGAAAGGATCCTGGGGGAGGCTCAGCTTTGGTGTCACGGGGGTGGCGATGAAATCCCAGAAACCAGACTTCAGAGCATCTCAGGGATGGATTCTAATAAGCTCAGGTGGGCACCACTGCCGGGGGGCTCCATTTGCTTCTCCCTGACCCTCTCCTTCAGGCCAAGGACTGAGCCAAAACCCGAGAAGAAGTCAGGGTGCAGGCCAAGGAGCCACGCAGACGGCGGGCCACAGAAAGAACTGATGATCCCAGGGATTGTGGATTTCAAGGTGATCCGAGAGGCACTGAGGACCTCCAAGCCCCAAACTCCCGGTGCCCACCGCTTCAGTCACCTCAGCCATCACTCCTTCTTCTCCCGGCACCACCCCCATCCCCAGCATGTGACCCACATCCAAGGTAGGGCTGGGGCAGGCCAGAGCCTGGCCGGAGGTGGGGACAGGGGAGGGCGTGCTGGAAAGGGAAAGGGAGGACCCAGCCCGCGCTTGGCCGAGCCAAGACACGACCTGAGACAGGGGCAGGGTGCGGGGGTCCAAGGGCAGACTGCCTAGCCCTACGGGATTTACGTCATTGCCGATTCTCCCATTTTACAAATCAGAGAAAGGGATGAATGTTCTCCTGCAGAGCTGCACTCTCTTGTCTAACTCAGGCCATTTCATCCACTCAGCTATTCATCCACCAAATATCTAATGAGTGTGAACTATGGGTCGAGCAGTGTTTTAGGTCCTGGGGTTATGAGAGTGAGCTAGACAGACAGTGCCTGCCCTCACGGAGCCGACTCTTTGGTGGGAAAGAATAGGAAATAGATAAGGTGTCAGATGTGGTAAGTGCCAAGGCTATACGGGGAGGCCTGACCAACAGCATGACATTTGAGCAAAGGATAAAGGAAGACAGGGCATGACCCGTGTGGATCTCAGGGGGAAGAGTGTCCCAGGCAGAGGGAACAGCAAGGACAGAGGCCCTGAGGCAAGAGCATCCTGGCTCTGTTGGAGAAACAGCAAGGAAGTCAGTGTGCCTGGAGCAGAGTCAGGAGGGGAGAGAAAGGAGATGCATCAGAGAGGCAGCTGGGCCCACAACGCGTGGGCCTTGGAGCTCACCGTGGTCACCCTTCAGCCATCTCACTGAGTCAGGTGGGAGTCACTGGAAGGTTGAGAGCAAAGAGGTAGCAGAAGGGATCTACTGGCTTTTGAATGGATGGTGGCTTGGACCGGGGAGGTAGCAGTGGAAGAGTTAGTGTCCCTGCTCTAGAGATATACAGAAGGTAAGGCCAACGGGATTTGCTGATAGATTCAAAACAGAGTACGAGACGGGAGAGGAGGTAGCCTGACTCCCAGGTGTTTGGCCTGAGTAACTGGAAAACTGGAGTTGCACTGGCTGAGACAGGGAAGCCCACAGAAGGGGCCAGTGGAGGGTGGGGAAGGTCAGGGGTTCAGTCTGGGACGTGGGAGATGCAACGTGTGCAATGCCTCTTAGAAGTCCGAGAGGAGGTATCAAGTAGGCAGTCAGGTCCATCTGGGGCAGAGATGCCAACGTGAGAGCCGCTCAGATGGGGGTGGTATTTGAAGTGACGTGCTGGATGGGATCATCAGGGGACCATGTAGATGTGGGGGAGGAGAACCTGGCATGAGCCTGGGGACCCCAAGGCTAAGGGGTTGAGGAGATGAAGAAGAAGCAGTAGCCGAGCGGCTGGTGAGCCAGGAGGACCCAGGAGAATGAGGGGTCCTGGCACCAAAGGAAAGTGTTCGGGAAGACAGAGTGAGCACCCACGGTAAGTCCTAACCAGGCTGTTCCCCAAAGCTTAACTAATGATGTTATAACATCACACAAACCTTAGACTGGAGGGTCCTCACGTGTAAATGTCTCTTACCACCTCCAGGCTGCCACGCACTCAGCCCTGGAAGCCTGACAGATGGCATGAAGTTTTATCCAGAGGGTCTCGCTCCCTGTGATTTGAGCCCAGGCCCCTCTCGTCACAAACTGTGGCTTAATGCCCCCGTCCCCACATCCTCTTCTTTAAGCTGCCTGCCTCTGTGCTCACACCTGCACTTCACTGCCCTGTCGTAGAACACCGAAAGGACCCCAGGACTAGGGTCTCAGGAAGCCCGGGCTCCTGTCTTATCTCTGCCTGACTCACTGCGTGACCCTGAGCACATCCTTTCGCTGCCATTCTAAGTGTCCCCAGGGGTAAGGTCACAGTGGTTACAGAGGCCCTCCCAGCTCTCGCCATCTCTGGGCTTGTGGTTACTGGAGGAAGTGGGCCAAGTGCAGCCCCTGCTCACCAGCCTCCTCCCAGCCCCCCGGAGTTCCTGGGGTCCACTCAGGCCCCCCTTCACACAGCCTCTATCCCTTCACAGATCTCACCGGGAAGCCCGTCTGTGTTGTCAGGGACGAGTTCTCTCTGGCCGCCTCACGTCAAGCCACACTCTTACCCCGCTCTCTGATCGGGATGCCCACCATCTCGGTCCCCATTGGAGACCCGCAGTCCAATCGGGATCCCTGGCTTTCTTCTGGTGGGTACTTGGGCCACAGCCCCTCTACCTTGGGGTTATACGTGTGCCTGGCTTGGGTGGGTGCCTGAGAAGGAAAGGGCCATTGCTCTTAGGTCAGTGGGGTCTGGTGGGGAACCCCAGTGTTTTCCTTATTTCCTCAGGCAGCTGCATTTGCATTACTCCCCAACCCCAGGTCCTCAGAAATGCACCCCTGCTTGGCTTTGATGTGTCTGAGGAGTCATGACAAGCAGATTTGGGCAACAGTCATGTGACTTACAGCTCTAGCCAGGAACAGTATTGGAAACACTGTATTTCGTAACCTGCGTGCTCAGGCACCAGCCAATCAGAACAGTCAGCCATAGATAGTGCGTTGGGGGGCGGAGGGGGAGGGCAGCATTTCAGAGACCTCTGCTCTGCCAAGCCTTTCCCTTTCCCTTAAGGGCGGGAGGACCCTGGGGAAGGGGCAGAGGGGCTTGGAAGGCTTGCTGCAGTGCTCGTTACCAACCTCGCCAGGAGTCACTCAGTATTTTAGTAACTGCCACAGCATATCGACTGAATCTCTGTCCTGGCTTTGGGCTCCTAAAAGAGGCAAAGCTAGACTAAATCACAAACATTTTGGTACATGTAGCCAAATGTTCTCCAGCATCTCCCAGTAAAGCCACAGGCTAGGACACCAATATCAGTGGCCACCATACCCACCAACCCACCAGTGGTGTGATTCCTACTCCTTCCCTCAAGGGCACCACCTCCCCGGTGAAACTACCCTTCCCTTTAAGATGCAGGGCAGGAAGACGGGGAGGAGAGGAGGCTCTTCCACCTACAGTCCTCCCCACATCCAGTGTACAGGGAGGGCAAGGAGGAGCGCCCCAGGTATCAGTTGGCCGGATCTCGTCCCCTCCTTCCAGAGGCCTGGAAGAAGGAGTTGAAAGACCTGGCTTCCCGGGTGGCCATCTTCACCAAGGAGAATGCGCTGAAGAGCAAGGAGGTGGGTGCAGAACAAAGCAGCTGCCTGAGAAGAGATGAAATGGACTCACTCCTTTGTAACTAAATCCCTCCCACGTGGCTTCCAGGAGATCAGTGTAGAGCGAGCCTTCCTGAGAGGCGCTACTGTTGGCACAGGGGAAGGGGCCCATGAATTCAACCCAAGGGAGAGGGTCCCAGTGAGGGTTCAGAGGACAGAACGTACCAGGTGGAGAAATCCAAGAAGGGCTCATAGTTTAGAAGCGGATGGGGAGAGGCGTGCCTAGTGGAAGCACACAGCATAAAGGCTCACAAGCTGGAAAATGCAGGGCATCTTTAGAGACCAGAGGGCTGAGGAACAGGGTACAAGTGGGCAGCAGTGAGGGAGAAGGTGGGAGAAGGGCTGACTTTGGACGTAGGCAAGATCAGCTTGTTTCTCATTTCTGAACTTAGTTTCGTGTCTAATCTGAGAAGGGGTGGGAAAATCCCTGAAGAATTACAGACAGAATGGGGGTGGCCTCCCGGGTGCTATTTGCTGATAAACCAATAAGGACAAGTGGGAGGCAGCTTGAAGGTGGTTGAAATTGGTCCTAGGACAGGCCCGGAACTTTGTGGCTGAGTCTGGTCCCGCCCTTGTCTTGGGCAACAGAGTTCTCGTCCCTGCCCTGCAGCTAACTCACTGTGACACTCAGGGCAACTCAGCTAAGCTGTCTGGGTCTCAGTTTTCTTATCTTTAAAATGGGGAGAAGGATACTACCAGTCTTAACTGGAGTTCCAGGGGCAGGAGGTCCTAGGCCTTGTGCCCACAGGCCTGGCTCAGGAAGGTTTCCCAGGGCAAAGAAAGGATGGCAAGCTGTGGGGGACAGTATCCTACACCAAGGCAGGATACTGTTTTCAAATCTCTGATGGGCTGGGGGGAGGGGCATGGGGAGGGCCTACCCAAGAAGAAGTACAAGGACCACCCGAGAACCATGGCGGGGAGCCAACATTCAATGAAATTCCAGCAGGAAGAGCAATAGCTATAATGGAAGGGCCACCCCACTGGCAAGAGGGGTCTAGGACAGGGTCGGGCTGGCCTGGGTGATATCCTGGGTCCCTGGCCTCCTCCTCTTCTTTTCCCCCTTGTCCCCTCTGCTTTCTCCTCTTTCTCCCTCTCTGCCAAGAGTCTCTGGCTGCTTTTTTCCCAGCAGAAGGAGGAGCCTCAGCGGGAGAAGGGGGCAAAGTACTCAGCAGAGACTGGTAGGCTCATCCCTGCTTCCACCCGGGCCACGGCCCGCCGCCACTCCTGCCAGGGCGTACGAAACCACTCTGCGAGCACAGATAGAGGAGACCAGACCTTCATCCTACAGGATCAGGAGTTGCTGGTGAGGTGCTGGGAAGGTTGGGGCCTGTGGACCCTACAGAGGCCCTAGTCTGAGGGCAGAGAACATGGTGGTACCTGCTCCCAGGCTCACAGGGATCCAACTAGGACCCTTGCAAACTGCTTTCAAGCCTGGCTTCTCCCAGGGAGCCTTGCACCTGAGACCATAAGGCTCAAAAACCCCAGACCTGGGAGTCAGGAGCCTGGATTCCAATCCCCGGCTGCCTCTAGCTTTCTGTCTGAGCCTTTCCCTCTCTAAGTCCTTTTCCCTCTCGGGACCTTAGCTCCATGATTTAGCCAAACTGGGAGCACAGACACGTTGTCACAAGGTCTGGTCCAGCTGTGGCACCTGACGTGTTAGCGAAGGGAGCCACGGCGGTGGAATGGGAAGCCTGGAGGTGGAGGCCCTGCCTGGCGTGTCCTCGCCGCGCCCAGCCTGCTGCCCCCCCCCGCAGCCTGCAAGGCGGGTCGCAGCCACCTCCCCACACCCTGGAGCCGTCTGGCCTGTGCTGCAGCGAAGCATAAAGTCCCCTCCTCCGCGTCCGAGGGTCCCATGGGGGCCTGAGAGGCGCGCAGGAGTCGTGCTGGTGGGCAAGGCGGTGCGAGTCTCTGTTCAAAGGCGCACACGTTCTCCAGGAGAGGCCAGACCATGACAGCATCCTGACACCTTCCCTGTGACCAGTGCTTTAAAGCACGCAGTCCCCTTGGAGCCTTAAGACAGTTCAGGGAACAGATAGAGCAGACAGGACCCCATTCCACAGATGGGGAGGCTGAGGCCCTGCCGGGTGACAGCCCACGGCGCAGGTCCCCGGAGAGGGCGCAGCATAGCAGGGGCTAGAACACAGTGCTTTCTCCACCATAGGGCGGCCTCACCTTCCCTGGAAGTAGGTTCTCGGGTCCTGTGGGGAGGGGGCACAGGGCAGGTAAGTTGGGTGCGGAGAATGGAGAGGGACCCCGGGCACATGGGGGCGGGGGTCACCTCAGGGGGCGGGTACCCAGGGGTGAGGGTGGGCAGCCTAGCAGTCGCAGGCCTGGGGAGAGGCCCGGCCCAGTTCCCGCTCTGCCAGGGATGAGGCAGACCTGCTGGGCACTGACAGCGCATCTTGGGTCCTGGGGAGACTGACCACCAAGCGCTGAGGGAACCCCACTTTCCTAGGACTCCGGGGGCTCTGCCTCCCCCCGTGGGCCCCAGCTCCACACAGGCACAGCCGCCAGCAGCAGCCTGGCCTAGGAAGCCCCCATCGCCCTTCCAAGACAGAGCTGGATCTCTTGCCGATGATCCCTGACCGGAGGACGCCGCGGGGAAAGGGCCCTGAAGTAGCAAAGATGCTGGAGGCTGAGAAGGCTGAGAAGGCGGCTGGGAGTGAAGAGCACAGGGCTCTGGGCGGGAAGGAGCCCCCGGCCGAGCAGGGCACAGAACCAGCTGACTCCGACCCTCAGGCCGCCCACAGGGATCACCCCACCTCTTTGCTAACATCTCCAATCTCTGAACTTGGGAACTTCAGGGAGGGGAGGCCCATGGGGTCCCTGAAATCCCCACACCAAGGACCCAAGCATTTGGGACTCGGTGCGTCTCTGAGGAGCTGACGGGCCAGCCCCGACCTTGCCTTCCCAGTGAGGGACTTTGGGGTACAACCAGCCCAAGTAGGGCTCAAGGACGAGGGGTCCAGGTGTCTGATTCTGAGGCTTCGTTCTGCCACAGCAGCTCTGCGAGGTGTCGTCCTCTCTCGAGGCCTCAGATGCCTGCCTCATCTGCCCAGTAGGGAGGTTAAGAATCTTCCTCCAGGGCTGTAGGCAGAGAACGCTTTCTACAAAGTGTAAAGTCCCATGTGGAGGGGAGGCAGGGACCGTCGTGGGGACTCGTCTAGCCAAGCAAGGGCTCTGGGAGACCACTTCGCGGGGGAGGCAGCTGTGCAGCCAGCTACGTGCTGTCCAGCCAAGCTGACCCAGGCCTGTCGTCCTGCCCACAGATCCTGGAGCTGCTTTCTCAAATCCTGCAAACAGACTCCTTGAATGCTATCCGGTTCTGGCTACTCTACGCGCCGCCCAAGGGTGAGGACACAGTCCCGGGCCCAGAACCTCGTCTGAGTCCAGACCGCTGAGGGCTGTGTCCACTGTTTCTGCAGGACTCAGGTGTCACTCGGCTCCCACCCCAGGGCCACACACGGGGGCCTCTCCTCCTTTTTTGGAGGCCCAAACTAATCTCTTCCAGCTAGACAACGTCACTGCTCCCCCCTCCACATTCCTCAGCAGGGTTTCCACGACCTTGCTCCTTAGAGGGGACCCCCTCCTCCACACTGACCGCAGGCCTCAGCCCCTGGGAGGGAGACATTCAAAGACCATACTTAGTGGACACGGCCTTTAATCCACCACTGTGGGAAATGCACACGCACAGAGATGCAAATACACATACATAAGAGCACACACACACGTGCACATGGACACGTAAATGGACGTACACATACTCACTGGGGCGGTAGGTGGAGGGTGTATCTAAGTGGGAGGGTGAGGAGTGATGAGAGCCAGAGAGCTGACTGGACGGGAGAGTGGAGGAGGAGGGGGGGGAGGGCGGGTCCCCAGCAGGCTTCCCAGGGGGCCAGGGGCCGAGGTGGCAGGTGAACCAAGAACCAGGGACACTCGAGAGAGGTGTGGAAGGCCGAGGCACGCTGCACACACAGGGGCCAGAGAAGTGTGGCCTTCCCCACGGGCCCCCGAGGACAGAATGTGAGATGGTTAGAGAGAGGCGCCTGGGCCCACTGGGCAGAAGAGCTGGAGGCCCCGCTCCCTGACTTTCCCACCTAGTGGCAGGATGGGGGCCGAGGTCTTGCCCCTGAGGATTCTCCCCCGCTTGTGCTTACAGAGAAAGACATGGCACTAGGCCTCCTGCAGACAGCAGTGGCTCAGCTCCTTCCCCAGGCCCTAGTCTCCATCCCAGCAGAAAAACTCCTGAACCAGCTCCAGGAAATTCAAGAACCACTTCAAGAGAGGCAACAGCTACCCTACAGGTGGGCTTCGCACCCCTCAGCTGCCCCTCTCCTCCCTAACATTCAGCCACCTGTCCTCCCAGGTGAGGCCAGGGGAGGCCAGAGGAGGGAGCCCGGTGCTGGCCAGAGCCTGGGCTGCCTAAGCCTGTCCTGGAGGAAGAGGCCCATGCTCTCCCCCGGAACCCCCAGTTCTACTTATGCGGCTTGAAAGCTTACTCTACCAGACCAGACTCCAGGGGCCAGCTGTGGGGATGCTAAGGGGTGACCTGTGTCACTTATAGCAAGACAGGGCTGGGTAAGCCACATCTAGCTCTCCAGGAGCTCTTGGTCTTTGGGAAGACACAAGCAGAGAAGGAACGGTGACACAAGGCAGGCAGAAGTACCTTTATGCCGGTATTAAGTCCTCTGCATGGCTGGAGAGAAGGATTTATGATGAGCTGGGGAAAGGGAAGATGAGGGAAGTCCGCACACAGCAGGGGAGTGGGGCCTGAGTGTCAGCCATGGGACCAGCAATCCTGAGTGCCCACTATGTTTGCCTGACACCGCTGGGTGTTTAACACATTTCTAGTCCATACAGCCACCCACGGAGGCAGTATTACCTCCATTTTACAGATGAGAAAACTGAGGCTCAGGAACAGTTGAATGACAGCCCCAAATCACGCAGCTGGGCAGCAGAAAAGCTGGGGTTCAGACTTAGGCTTATCTGACTTCCAAGCCCAGCAGCGCTCAGATCCACCAGGGAGCTTACTGAAAAGGCAGATGCCTAGAGGTTGTCACACAGTAGGGTGGGGGTGAACGCGGAGATGTGTATTTCCAACAGTCCCCTAAGTATGTCTGATAGCGCCTGGGGACACTGCTGGGATGGATAGGATTTGAACAAGCAAATGAGAGGGTGGGGAAAGTCAGGAGTGGAAGTCAGAAATGGGAAGCGTTAGGGAACGTTAAATTTGGGAGTGGCTGGAGCGCGGGTGGGTGGATTGGTGAGAAGGGGGCGGCGTGCTGTGCTGGCCTGGATGTGCTGAAGGTGTGGGTGCTCTGGCCCTGGACTTGGTTTTCTTTTCCACTTTGAGACCAGGGGTGGCACAGTGGTAAGGCAGCTTCACTGTGACCTTAGGCAAGCCACCTCCCATCTGTGAGCCTCTGTTTCACCTTCTCAAAACACCCTCTCCTGGAATCACAGGGAGGAAAAATTACATCGGGTGCATCAAAAGGCTTGCTGAGTGCAAAGCCAATACAAGATATGAATGTTATCCATGCTCATCAGTAATTCATTAGGGAAGCAGGGTTTCTGTCTTCTCCACTCACACAGGAAGGCTTCCCGTCTGCAGGGAAGCAGTAAGCCAAGGGAGGGCAGGTGCAGTGGCCTCCCTACAGCTCCTTACAGAAGGGCCTTGGTTCCCTGTGGCTACAGCGGGCGATGGAGTCACAGTTGTTGGGGTCCTGCTTGGGGTGGGGCCATCCCTGGACAGACACCTGCTGGCTCTCAGGAGGGGTGGGTCTTGCCTCTCCCTGGGGCACCTTCCCCACCTCCCTGCCCACCCTGCCACTCGGCTGGCTGCACGGCTCCAGCCTGACCTTCCCAGCCTCTCCTTGTATTGGTTTTAGCCAATCCCTGAAGAAGACGAAGACGCCACCTCCATCAAAAAGCGAAAAACCAGGTAAGAGTCCACATAGCAGGTCACTGGGGGCTCAGAGAGGCCCACCATGGCTAGATTCCTTAGGGGATACAAGGACCCCCTGGAGATGGAGCCCTGCCCAAAGAAGTGGCTCATTTCATCCATCCATCCATACACTCATTCGTTCAGCAGATCCTTAATTAGTACCTAAGCGCTAGCTTCTGGGATCACTGGGGGAGAATTTGGAGATGAGTTCCTGCTGCCGTGGAGCTTCATCCTAGGGAGAGGAGTGCAGACCGCAAAGACACCTGAGGCAGATGGGTGCCCTAAGGAAAATGACAGGGCGATGGCAGAATCAGGAGGACTGGTAGGGTGGGGAGAGGGCCCCTTGAGTCAAAAGGCAGGAAGGATCCAGCCCTCTCTGGGTCAAGGGAGAGCCTGCGAGCAGGGCTTCCACCTGCCAGGTGTGTTGGTGAAAGAGCAGGCAGGCCAGGGTGGCCGGAGCCTTGTGGGTTGGGGACAGTGGTAAGAAATGAGATAGGTGGGCAGAGCCGGCCTGTGGGAAAGGCCAGGCATGTGGTCTCATAAAGAGAGCATGGGGCTCACTGGAGGGTTATCAGCAGGGTGTGGTGGGACCCCTCTGGCTGCTGTGTAGATAATGGACTGTGGGGTCCCAGAGGGGATGAAGGAGACCAGGGAGGAGGGGGTACCTTAGACCAGAGCGGGGGTGGGGGGGAGGGGAAGGAAGGTTGGAGGGGAGAGGAGAGGACAGGTATTCTTGATGTACACTGTTCTCCCCCACTAGACTGTAAAGGGTCCTGTGTGCCCGGCAGCGTGTCTGACACAGAGTAGGTACTGCTCAGACATCTGTGACCTGGATGTAGAAGAGGGTGGTGAGGCTGGGGGAAGGGAGCCAACCCCTCCCAGGTTGCCAGGAGAGCCCGAGCGGAAGCCTGGCCTCACCCAGGCACACACATATCCACCAGGGCCTGGCGGGGAGAAGGGGTCCCTCCAGATCTCCTGGGCAGCTCCCAGGTAGGGACCTGGCCCCTCACGCTCTCCTGCCTGCTGTGTTCCACCACCACCCCCCCAGAGAACCCTGGGAAAGCACAAGTTCTTCGCGTGCACTCCAGCCAGAACCCAGAAGAGAAGGCGGCAAAGCCAAAGGTAGAGGGTTGAGGAGTTCGCACCACTTTGCCCACCTTGCTCAAGAAGAGCCCCTGAGTTCAAAGATTCGGCCCGCACCTCCTCAACAGCAATACCGGTTTTCCTATCACATGGAGCCTATTAAAATACTGTCTTCCCCTTAAGAGGACAGTTCCGCTCTCCTACCAGGAGGTCTGTGCTTGGGTAGTTTGCTCCAGGAGGGGGGATGAGCTGTACCAAACCATCCCGACTCCCTTGGAGAAAGCCTCCCCATGTGGGGCTTCCCTGGTTCTGTTAGGTTCCAGAGAACTGAAGGGCGGGTGGCAGATGGGGCTCTGCTCATCCTTGAGCCAAGTCTCCCAGGGTTCTGGGTAGATAAGAGCAGAGGGTGGGAACTCACAGGCCACTTTACAATACTGATCCATACCAATTATTGAGTTCCTACCAGGTACTGAGGCAGGTACTAGCTAATTCATATAGAACACTATATGAATTGTTGTACATATTTTATATATGGTACTATGTTTGATGTTCCCCAAAGCTCTATGAGGTAGAGAATCCCTCCCATTCTATAGATGAATAAACTGAGTGAGGCTCAGAAAGGTGAATTAGCTTGTCCAAGGCCACACAGTAAGTGACAACCAGGATCCAAACGCAACATGTCTGGATCTAGAATCCCTGCTCCTATCTGCTGTACTCTGTTGCCTTACGAACAGCAACCCTCACCAAAAGTTGTGGTCACGTTCCTGAAGAGCTTATGGTTAGGAAAATGGTGGTTGGCAAGATCAAGAAGGAAAGGGACATTATATAAATGTGACCCAGATGCAACTGGGGTGTCTCTATCCTTTAAGATATAGAGAAGAGGGCTTTGACCCTCTGGGAAGTCCAGTGTCTTCCTTGAGATTTCTGCAAATTGCTTGGGATGGGGTGGGGAGGTCAGCATTGAGTATTTACAATTTCATGGTCACCTATGGCTCTGAGCTCCTACTTCTACTGACTTAGTTCAGTCCACGGATTGTGGCTCTACTCTATACTTCCAGCACTGCCCCCACATCAATTCATATGATCCCTTTCACACAAAACTTGTGCACGGCAGGCTTCAATCAAGATCAGGGGCTGGGGCTTCCCTGGTGGCGCAGTGGTTGAGAGTCCGCCTGCTGATGCAGGTGACACGGGTTCGTGCCCCGGTCCGGGAAGATCCCACATGCCGCGGAGCGGCTGGGCCCGTGAGCCATGGCCGCTGAGCCTGCGTGTCCGGAGCCTGTGCTCCGCAACGGGAGAGGCCACAACAGTGAGAGGCCTGTGTACCGCAAAAAAAAAAAAAAAAGATCGGGGGCTGGATGGGGATTTTCTGTGAACCCAGCAAACAGCTTCATGGTCAATATTAGATCACCTTGTTTTTAAAAGTCCTTGGCCACTCTTCCACTGGGGATGTTTCCCTGGTGGCAGCATCGCATATAACAACTATGCCCTGGGGCTTCCCCAGTGGCGCAGTGGTTGAGAATCCACATGCCAATGCAGTGGACATGGGTTCGATCCCTGGTCCGGGAAGATCCCACATGCCGCGGAGCAACCAAGCTCGTGTGCCACAACTACTAAGCCTGTGCTCTAGAGCCCGTGAGCTACAACTACTGAGCCCACGTGCCGCAACTACTAAAGCCCGCGCGCCTAGAGCCCACGCTCCACAACGACAGAAGCCACTGCAATGAGAAGCCCGCACACCGCAACAAAGAGTAGCCCCCGCTCGCCACAACTAGAGAAAGCCCGTGCGCAGCAATGAAGACCCAACACAGCCAAAAATAAATAAATAAAATTTATAAAAACAACAACAACAACAACAACAACTATACCCTGGGAATTCCCTGGCGGTCCAGTGGTTAGGGCTCCGTGCTTCCACTGCAGGGGGCACAGGTTAGATCCCTGGTCAGGGAACTAGGACCCCGCATGCCATGTGGTGCGGTCAAAAAGACCAAAAAACACAAAACAAAACTAAAACCTATGCCCCTTGCCATCTCACTGAATTTCCCCTGCCCTGTCCTCAACCCTGCCACCAGTTTGCCCCCAGAAAGCCCACACTATTTTAATTTTTTCCAATTATTTTCTTGTAAAATACACATAACACAAAAGTAACCGTTTAAACCACTTTGAAGTGTACACATCGGTGTCATTAACGACATGCACATTGTGCGCAACTATTACCACCATGCATCTCCAGAACTCTTTTCATTTTGCAAGGCTGAAACTCCGAAACCCTTTAATAATTTCCCATTCCCCGCTCTTCCCAGTCCATGGCATTCCACTTTCTGTCTCTGAATCTGACAACTCTAGGTCCACCATATTAGTGGAATCATATAGTCGTATGCATTATCCTTCTGTATCTGGCTTACGTCGCTTAGCGTGATGTCCTCAAGGCTCATCCATGTTGTAGCATGTCTCAGAATATCCTCGCACATTTACTTTTTTAATCGATGCAGCAGTTCAGCTCCTCCAGCCTCTGTTCCCAAACCCTCCAGCTCCACATTGCCGTCTAACCTCATTTAGGGGCTGAGCTGAACACAAGGACCGTTCATGGAATAGGGTCCTTGCCCCTTGGCAGCTGTGGTTACAAGAGTATATCCCTACTCCGTTACGAATAAGTTTTTGAAATCCAGGCAGTGAAAAATTCTAAAAGCTATCTGTTTCCAAAATATATCATACTTCTTGGCACAAAAGCCCTGGGTCCTTAGGTAATCCTTCTACCCCTCCTCTAATTTTTCAGGAAAAATTGCCATGAGATTAATATCTGCCCCTGCAGATTCTCATACTTTCTTATTCCCTGGAGCGTACCTCTCTTTTAAGTTCCTTAGCCCATCCTTCAAATCTATTTATTTTGCTTTCTCCATCTCGTGTTTCCTTTTGCAACTCACTGCAAAATGCTTGTGTCACTGCCTGGGTTTTGTACCCATTGTCACTGCATTGAAAGACAAGATGTTTCAGGCCTGGCTTCTTACCTGTGTATTTTGCGGGTAGGTTGTGAACAGATGAGATCTTTCTCAGCAGCGCTGCAGTCTGTTAGGAGAAAAATAAGGGGACTGAGTTGAATCATGTGCACATAGAAACACTGTGGAAACAAACATGTGCTATGCAAATGGGAATGGGAAACTACCATATTGCAAAAACACAGATGGCTAACCAATGGTTGCATGGGATGATCTGACCTCATTCAATGCTCACAGCCACCCGTAAAGTAGGTCTTATAGGTGGAAAGCCCAAGGCTCAGAGCAGAAGCAACATCAAAATTTACACAGCCCATAAGCAGTGGATTCAAACTCAAGGCTGTGGGATCCTCTGTCAGTGCCCTTTACTTTCTGCCAGCTGCCATCTTGCAGGATCACCCCAAGTCCCACTTGTCTCCAGACAGAGAAGTGGACCCTTCTCTCACTTCCAGCCACTTCACCCTCTCTTCCTTCTGGTTCCTCTTCTTCCATCTCTTAGGTATGGAGTTCGGCAGGGTTTGCTGTGACTCCTTGGCCCTCTTTAAAGTCCTCCAACAGGCCTGCATCCTTTCTCCATGTTTTAAGGGAGTCACTGCTGAACCCCAGGGGGACAGCCAGCTGGGAGAATTGGAAGGTTCCAGACATCTCACAAAGCACTGGCCAGAGTCATCACTGGCCTTCCTGGAAATGCAAGTGGTGTCTGGCCTGCCCTCCTCGTCACCTGCACAGGGCCATCTTGACCTCAGGGCCATCTTGACCTCAGATCCTGTGCAGGTTGGAGGTCGGGCTGGATACTGGGCTGCGACCTGTAAGCTCTGCTTGGCTTTGCAGAGCTTCTGTGCCCTGCTTAGCAGCACTCCCTGTCCGGGCCCCCTTTTGGGCATCAAGGTGACTTCTGGGTGTCAGGACCCCATGACCACTCCTGGGTCACTTCTAAATTTTCCTTGGCTCAGGCCCTGGAATTTCTCTTCTCACTACCCTCTGCTTCTCTGCCTGCCTGAAGCATGAGGACAGATTTTCCCTTCCAATCTTCTCTCCTATGGCTCTAGGTCCTCCTTGGGATCCGTTCTCCTTAGTCACTGTGAAAGCCATTGTTGGGTTTGCCCAGATGCCCCCACCCCCTTCCAGGTGGGCCTGAAACTTAGCTCCGTCCAACCAGAGTGCCCCATTCCTGGGCACAGTGACTGGTTCAAGGATTGGATAAGCATGTGACCCAAACCAGGCCAACCAGAGTTCACCCTTGGGATTGTTTTGTTGGCTGGGAAAGAATGTTGGCTTTTGAGATGACGCCATCATCGGTCATCATTGCTCCAAGAGACAAAGCTGTGGATTCAGTCACACCTGATGGTCCTGATTCTTCCCCATCCTTCCCCATTATATGAGACAATAAAATTATTTCTTAATCGAAGTGTTGATTTTTACGCACTTTTAACATAAAGCTTTTACTATTTTAACCATTGTTAAGCATACAGTTCAGTGATATTAAATACATGCATACTATTGGGTTACCATCACCACCATCCATCCATACAACCCTTTTCATCTTGCAGAACTGAAGCTCTATACCCATTAAACCACAACTCCTCATTCCCTCCTGCCCCCAGCCCCTGGCAACCACCCTTCTACTTTCTGTCTCTATGGATTTGACTGTTCTAGGTACGTCATATAAGTAGAATCATACAATATTTGTCATTTTGTGACTAGCTTACTTCACTCACCATAGAGTCCTCAAGATTCATCCATGTTGCAGCATATGTGCCAGAATTTTCTTCCTTTTTTAGGCTGAATAATACTCCCTTGTATGTATAGCCTCCATTTTGTTTATCCGTTCATCCATCGATGAACATTTGGGTTGTTTTGCTTTTTGGCTATTGTGGATAATGCTGCTAGGAACATGAGTGTACAGAAGAAGTTGATTTTTATGTCACATGTGACCAAAGGGATCCTGGATAATCTACGGTCACATAGCTAGTAAGTAGAGGCTCCAGAACTAGAATACAGGCTCATCAGACTCCAGAGCCACTGACAAGAGCCCTTGGTTCCCAAACTTGAACCATTCTCATACCCCCGTCATGAACATGTTACAACTGTTCACCACCTGTACTATTCCTTCATATTTCTTTAAATTTACCTTTTTACTTTTCTTCACTTAACTATAGTTTTGACCTCAGCGATAATATCCCTGGCATCACGGTTTTGAGGTGTTATTTATAAAAGTTTCTCATACACACAAAAATAAATAGAAATAGAAATGTTTAAAATGATAATGTTCCTCCGTGTGCCCCCTAAGTTCAACTTGTACCACCAGAGTACACTTTCCACACCTTGGGAAACGCTGACTAGAACAGAGAGCAGTTTGAAGATGAGAGAACCATGCTTGGGATCCTTGGCTAAAGGACACACGTGGGGGTCAGCTTCTCCATGCCCAGCTTGCTGGCTCAACAATCACCCCACTGACCGCCCTCCACTTGATGGGTGAGATGAGAATAGGCTGGAGACCCATTTTCAGCAAACGCAGGGAAAGGTTGTACCCTCCCTTTTGGAGCCTTAGGAGCCCACTGTTGGGACATCCCTCAGAAGCTCTCAAGCCCCCTTCCCAGCCCATGGCAAACCCTCATTGTAGCACCCATGACATGGCGTCCAACTTCAGGTTGGACAAGGACAGTAACAGAGATCCCACCACCTTTCCTGACTGCTCAAACCTTAGTTCTGTCCCCAGAGCCACAAAGATCAGGTCTTTCCTTCTTCCTCTGGCTTTCTAATTTTGCCCTTGTCAGAACTCTTTTATGTCTCAAACCACGCCTCCTTTCAAATATTTATACCTTTAAAAAAATTTTTTTTTGGTCTGATTGCATTAGCTAATACTTCCAGAGAATAATGTTAATTAATAACTATGATAGTGGGCATTTTAATATTATTTAATGGGAATGCCTTTCATTTTTCACCACTGAGCATGAGTTGACTTTGTTTACATATCAAATATATATAAACTGAAATATTCACATATTCGTAAAGTTAGGTCAAGAAGTATCCTTCAGCTCTTATGTGTTTAATCCATGCTGGAACCTTATGAGGTAGATACTATTGTTAATGACAATTTTACAGATAAGGAGCTGGAAAAAAGAAGTAACTTGCTCAAGGTCGTATAAGCAATAGGAAACCGATTCAGGATTCAAATCTTGCAGCTTGAATGGGCAGAGCCCATTCTCTTAATCCCATTCTAACTCCCCATAATAACTCCACGTGGTAGATATTAGCACAGTTTTATAGACGAGAATTCAGAAGAGAGGTTAAGTGATTCGTCCAAGGTCAAACAGCTGACAAGTACATCCTTCTCTCAGGTTAACAGGGTGGTCTTAGAGTTTATCTCTACTGCACATTGGCTTAATTTCTTCTGCGTGCTGTGTGATTTTTTTCCCTCAAATCTGTCTTCCATTTCACTGTCTTGTGTTTCTATCATGTCAGCTATACCCTTGATATTATTCTACTACATTCATTAATTCTGTAGTGGTATTATTTTTGTCCTTGTTTCTTTTCTTAGTCCTTTTCAACTCATTCTATTGTCTTGTCTGAACTTCAATCTCTTGTTTCAGAGTTCAAGTTGTCTTTAATTTCTTGAGACTGCAAAACAGTTTTGTTTTTTTTTAATTTATTTGTTTTATTTTTTTTGGCTGCATCAGGTCTTTGTTGCCGTGCACGGGCTTACTCTAGTTGCGGTACGTGGGCTTCCGTTGCAGTGGCTTCTCTTGTTGCAGAGCACGGGCTCTAGGCGCCCGGGCTTCAGGAGTTGTGGCTCCTGGGCTCTGGAACGCAAGCTCAGTAGTTGTGGCGCATGGGCTTAGTTGCTCCGCGGCATGTGGGATCTTCCTGGAGCAGGGCTCAAACCCGTGTCCCCTGCATTGGCAGGCGGATTCTTAACCACTGCGCTACCAGGGAAGCCCCAAAACAGTTCTTATCTAATATTTTCTTCTGTTCCTGGGTGTATCTTCTTCCAGAAATGTGCACGTCATCTTTCTTTTGCATGTTCTCCTTCCTCTGTCCCACTCTGTCCTTTTTTCCTATAGAGTTTTTGCACAGGTACCAAGTCAGTTTCTTTTGGTTTCGCTTATGTTGGATCTGGAGTACTTCTTTCCAAGCCCCTTATTTGCACAAATGGTGACTTCTTGATTCTCCTCTTTGTTTACCTGGGCCCTGTGTGCACCCTCCTCTCTGAACATTAGCTTGAGGTCTGACTGTCATTGGTTTATATTCTTCCTGTTTCCCTCTTCAGCTGCCTGGGACAGAGGGGTTGGAGAAAACTGGGGCCTGGGAAGCCAGCAAACCAACTGCATCTCTGTTCTCTTCATCTCTAACTTTAAAAAAATAAACTTTTAACTTTAAAACTGTGTTAGGAGGTTTACAGAAAATCTGTGAAAAAACAGAGTATCCATATATCCTATATCCAGTTTCTCCCACTCTTTTTTTTTTTTAATGTAACAGCTTCACTGAGATCTAATTCACACACTGTGAAGTCCACCTATTTCAAGTGTACAATTCAATAGTGTTTAGTATTCACAGACTTGTGCAACACAGTCAATTCCAGAACATTTTCGTTACTCCAAAAAGAAACTCCAGTACACATTGGCAGTCACCCTATTTCCCTCAAAGCTCCCCCTTCCCTATGCGGCCGCTGAACTATTTTCTCTCTCCATGGATTTGCCTATTCTGGCCTTTTCGTATAAATGGAATCATTTAGTATATGATTTTGTGACTGGCTTCTTTCACTTAGCTTAACATTTTCCAGGATCATCCATGTTGTAGCATAGGTCAGTACTTCATTCCTTTATGGCTGAATAATATTCCATTGTATGGATATACCACATTTTGTCTATCCATTTACCAGTTGACGGACATTTGGGTTGTTTCTATCTTTTGGCAATTGTGAATAGCACTGCTATGAACATTCATGGACAAGCTTTTTGTGTACATATGTTTTCAATTATTTGGGGTCTCTACCTAGGAGTAGAATTGCTGGATCCTATGATAACTCTGTGTTAAACTTTTTGAGGAATGGCCAGGCTGTTTTCCAAAGCA